CAGGTGGAGAGGTGCAGCCTCAGCGCAGGGTCGGGGCGTGGGGGCGAGGAGATGGTGCTGTCTGGCGCCAACTTCCTGCCTGACTCCAAGGTCGTCTTTATTGAAAGGGGTCCCGGTAAGTGTGAGCCCCACCCCCGCCATCTCCTCCCTGCCCCCTACATTGGGGAGCCCCCTGGGACCTACAATCCCTCCCCCCACCCCACTGGGACCCTCCCACTCCCATCTTCTCCACCATCCCTTCTGTGCCCCCTTGTGCCCTGGAGACCCTTGGCCCTACAATGCCCCTGCTCCCTGCACTTGGAGAGATCCCCCCAGGACCCTCCCTGCCCCCCTCCCTTCCCCCTTGCTCCGCCCCTCCATGGCCTCGCAGCCAATAACCTCTCTCCTTTCAGATGGGAAGCTCCAATGGGAGGAGGAGGCCTGTATCAACCGGCTCAAGAGCAACGAGGTGAGAAAATCCTGGAGTGGATCAATCCTGGGGGAGCAGGGTGGGGGATGGGGGAAGTCCCGGAGTGGATCAACCCTGGAGGAGTGGGGAGGGGGTGTTGTAAATCCTGGAGTAGATCCACCCTGGATCTGGATTCCTGGAACAGATTGCAAATTCCAGCCCCACCCAGGATGGGGGAATTTTGCTGCCCCCTCTCACCCGAATTCCCTACCCCCCCAGACCACGCTGACCCTCACAGTCCCAGAATACAGCAACCCACAGGTGGCCCGGCCTGTCCAGGTCTATTTCTACGTCTCCAACGGGCGGCGGAAACGGAGCCCAACGCAGGCCTTTAAATACTTGCCTGGTGAGTTGAGGGGAGGGGGAAAGGGAAGGAGTCGTGTAAGTGGGGAGAGGGGAACGAGATGGGGGGAGGAGGAAGGAGAAGAGGTTGCGGGGGCAGCAATTGGGGGGGTGATTCCCACGTGACCTGATGGTTAATTGGGGGGAGGGGACAAAGGTGGCAAATAGACAAGGAGGGGGAGGGGAGAGCGCAAGAAGAGGGGACGAGAGACACAGTGCTGTCTCCCAGGGGGCGCTGTTGGATGGGAAGGATTTGGGGCAGTTCCTTTCCCCTCCCCCAGTCTCTGACTCTCTCCCCCCTCTCCCCACAGTGATCTTCAAGGAGGAGCCACCCCCCTCCTCCCCACTCCGCGGCTTCCCCCCCGGCCCCTCCTCCCCAGTGCCCCCTTGCAGTCCCCCTTACCCTCCTGAGGGCCCCGGGGACATGGACATTTCCCCCAGTCACCCCCACTTCCCCTGCTACCCTGATGACTCCCCCTACAGGGCTGGCTACTCCCCCTCCCCCGCGGCCTTCGGGAGCCCCTCCTCATACCCTGACGGGCCCCCACTGCTCCCTTTGACACCCCCTTATCACCACTGCCTGGCCACCGAGCCCTCCCACCGCTACCCCCACACGGAGCAGTACGGAGGGGCTGGGCTGACGGTGCCCCCCCACTTCCATCCGCTGGGCTACCGGCCCCCCCACTTCCAGGCCCCTGCCCAGCTCACCCCACCACCACTGTCAGAGGGAGCCAGGCCCCCCAACTGGGGGGATCCGGAGTCGGGGGAGACTGAGGAGGTGGAGAAACCCAGAGGCAGCGGATACCGGGTGGCTTTCCGTGACAGCCTGCCTGTCCAGGGGATCACGCTGGAGGAAGGTAACGGGACTTTTCCCCTCTAGGGGGCGCCGGCTCCCACACGGCTCTAGGGCAGGGGACTGGCTTGATCACAGGGTGTAGAATGGGATGCAGGGTCTTTCCCCTGTAGGGGGCACTGGCCCTGATCCCACCCCAGGGCGGGGGGACAGCCTGGCTCAGGGGGTAGGGAATGGGACATGGGGCCTTTCCCCTCTAGGGGCGCTGGCTCTGATCCAGCCCCAGGGCGTGGGTCTGTCTAGCTCAGGGGGTTCCCCTCACTCTGTTTTCCCCTCTCTTTTTCTCCTAGTGACCGAGATCATCGGCCGGGACCTGAGTGACTTCCCGGAGCCACTCTGTGAAGGCAGGGGGAGCTGAGACCCTGGCCGCTCCCGGGTCCTTCCTGGCTTATCCAAGCTCTGTCCATCTCATTTCTGTTCATCCGTCTGTGTCAATCACAGTTCCATCTGTCTGTCCAGCTCTCTGTCTGTCCGTCCAAGCTCTCTGTCCATCGATCACAGCTCCATCCATTCATCCATCCTAGCCCTGTCCATCTGTCCTAGCTCTCTGTCTGCCCGTCCTAGTTCTCCATCCATCTGTCCATCTCTCTTTCTTTCTACATCAGGGAAGGATGACTCTGAAGTCCCCATCCCCACCCCCTTGTCTCCTCCCCCAAGCGCCCCTACCATCTGGGCTTCACAGCATATGCCAGCTGCGGGGTGAGGGGGGCCCCCAGACTATATCACCCCTGTTCTCCGCCTCCCTCCTGGAGCCATTTTCCTATGGGGCAAAAATACCCAACCAGGGGGAGGGGGATATTCCTATCCCCGTGTATGAGCCCACCCCCATCAACTCAGCAATGGGGGAGGGGGGCAGATATGGCTAATGGTGGGGAAGAGGGGGGAGTTCAAGCCATCAGATTTTGCAGGGTATAGGAAACATCTCCCCCCCTCCCCCCAGGGGTAAAATAATTCTCCAATAGAGTGGAGGAGGATGTGCCAGCCCATGGTGTCACATGGAAGCCCCTTCCCTAGATCTCCCCCCAATGGGGACAAGAAGGAGTTAATGACTACAATGGTATTGTTGTGGGGCTCGGGGAGGGGGTGTCCGTGATTATATCCAGTTTTATATCGTTTATTTTTTCCCTGACTTCTCCTTTTCTTTGAATCCTGGTTTGTTTTGTAATAAAATGAATTGATTAAAAAAGAACAGCTAAATACAATAAAAGTGTGTCTGATTCGGGGGGAGGGAAGGCGCAGGGTGGGCAAGTGGGGGAGGGAAAGAATGGGAAGGGGAAAGGGAAGTCAGAGGGGTGGAAAGTGCAGTGGAGAGGGGAGGGGACAGAACTGCCCCTAGTGCCCATTATACAGTATAGCCGCCCCTTCCCCGCCCCTTCCCCACCCCCACCCTCTGCTGCCCCTAGTGGCCATTATACAGTATAGCCGCCCCTTCCCCACCCCCACCCTCTGCTGCCCCCCAGTGCCCATTATACAGTATAGCCGCCCCTTCCCCACCCCACCCTCTGCTGCCCCCTAGTGCCCATTATACAGTATAGCCGCCCCTTCCCCACCCCCACCCTCTGCTGCCCCTAGTGGCCATTATAGGAAGAGCAGTCACGGGGTTGGGTGCGGTGGGTTTACAGGCCCCGCCCTTGCTCCGGAGGCGGGGCCGGGCGATACAGGAGCAGGGAGCCCCTCCTGGTGCCCGATGGGGGCAGTAATTTACCACCGACACACAACGCGTGTGGAAGGGTGACCGGGACTCGGGGTCTGAGCAGGGCGAGTGGCTGATCTGTCTGGGTGGGGGACTCGTGTGAGCCTAGGCTGGAGACGGGGGGGGGAGAATATCTATTGATTGATCAAATTCGTCTCTCTGCGCCCATGCACTGCGCATCTACCTGCCGATGTGTCCCTGCACATCTGCCTGCCTGCCTGCCTACCTACCTTCCCTCCTCCCCAATCTCTCCTGCGCGTTTCTCTCCCTCCCCAGTTCTGCCAGCCCAGCCCGGCCGCGGGGGAGGGGACGGGCTGTGGGACGTCCCGGGGCGGGGAGTCGGCCAAGGGGCACCGTGGGACACCAAAGGGGGAAGTGACGAGCTCGTAGGCGAAGAGAAACGAGCCGCGGTGGAGCCGGAAGTCAGAGCCTGGAGCGGTGCTGGGGGCTGCAAGTCTGAGGTCAGGTGCAGGAGTCCCCGCGTCCTGGCACCCAGTAATAAAGGGATGGGAGCCTTCCAGTGAATGGGCAGCAGGGGCTGCGGGTCGGGAGTGAGGGGCACCGGCAGAGCTCGGAGGGAGCCCAGGGCTGGGTACCAGGGGCTGCGGGTCGGGAGTGAGGGGCACCGGCAGTGCTCAGAGGGAGCCTAGGGCTGGGTACCGGGGGCTGCGGGTCGGGAGTGAGGGGCACCGGCAGAGCTCGGAGGGAGCCCAGTGCTGGGCTAGCAGGGGCTGTGGGTCAGGAGTGAGGGGCGCCCTCTCACTCTGTCCCAGTGCAGGGATGGCCGAGTGGGTGGAGTTCCGGGAGCGGATCCCCCGGGAGTGCCTGGAGGAGATGCAGTTCATCGCCTCTGGTGGGTTCGGCACCATCTATCTGGCTCAGCACCGTGACTGGCGCATCCCCATCGCTGTGAAGAAACTGAGCCGGTAAGAGGGGTGGGTGTCTCTCTCGCTCTCTCTCTCTTTCCAGCCTTTTTTCCTTCACACTCTTTCTCTTTTTTCTCTTCCTTCCTCCGCTTCTTTTTACTTTTCCCCGTCCCCCTCTCCCCTTCCTTTTCCCTTCTCTCCTGTTCCTTTCACCATGTTTCTTTGTCCATCTCTCCTTCACCCTTCTCCTTTTCTTTTTGTCCATTCCTCTCTTATATCCGTCCATCCCTCCATTTACTCTTTCTAGTCTTCCATCCCTCTATTTGCTGCTTCTCTGCATTTCCTCCTTCCCTTTCCTTTCTCCTTCCTTCCATTCCTTCTTTCTATCCTTCCATACCTCCATTTCCTCCTGCCCTCTGTAATCTCTGTCCCTCCACTCTCCCATTCTCTCCTCCCATCTCTCCATTCTCCTGCCTTTTCTTTCTCCTTCGTTCTTTCTTTTCACCTCCTTCCTCCACTCTCAACTTTCCCCATCCTTCGTTCATCTCTCCACCCCCCGCCTGCAGAGACACCTGCAGCCGTGAAGAGCTCCTGGCGGAAGCCCGGGCCATGGACAAAGCTCGCTTCATCTACATCCTGCGGCTCTTCGGCCTCTATGAGGAGGAAGAGGAGGGCTGGGACTCTGGCCCCCGGCTGGGCATTGTCATGGAGTACATGGAGAATGGCAGCCTGGCCGGCTTGCTGGAGAAAGTCCGGCCAGTCCCCTGGCCAATGCGCTTCCGCCTCCTCCACCAGGTGGCGCTGGGCATGAATTACCTGCATGGGCTTCACCCACCGTTACTGCACCTGGACCTCAAACCCAGCAACGTCCTGCTGAATTTGGAGCTGCATGTCCGGGTGAGAAAGCCCCTCCCCTCCTAGTCAGCCAAGCCTGGGTCAGAGCTGGCACCCCCTACAGGGGAAAGGCCCCGTGTCCCTTTTCCCACCCCACTGATCCAGCCACTCCCCTGCCCTAGGGCTGCATTGCAGCCAGCGCCCCCTAGAGGAGAAAGGCCATGTGTCCCATTCCCTGCCCCCCAGCTATGCTTTTCTCTCTTCCCCACCAGCTGGCAGACTTTGGGCTATCGAAATTCAAGCGAGTGACGACCAAGCAGGGAGCAGACAGCTCCGGGGATAAGGATGACTACGGGGGTACCCTGGAGTACATGCCCCCCGAATCCCTCGTAGACATCAACTACAAGCCAACGCCAGCCACAGACATATACAGGTAAAGGAACCCCAATGTCCCAGTGAGGCACTAGGGGGCGCTGTGCTGCAGGGAGCAGGGCAGGCGGTTCAGTAGGGGGCACTCTCCCCTTTCAGTCAGTCCTGACCACAATGGCCCATAGCGACATTAGTTGGCGCTGTGCTTCAGGGAGCTGTGTCGGGGGTCCTCTCCCATCCCATGATCCCAACCTGCCCCCTCTTTTGCCTCTGCAGTTATGCCATCCTCACCTGGTCCGTGTTAAGCGGTGAACAGCCTTACCCAAGTGAGTCCTATTCCTGTCTTTTAACTATGCCTCTCTTTTGAACCAAGCTTGTCCTGCGATTCAGGGGCTACTCAGGGGTTCCTGGGAATAGAAACAAAACAAACACCACCTCTGAGCTGAAGGGGAATCCCTTCTATCCCAGCAGTATAGGATTTACGGCTCATACAGGCGCAGTTTTCAATCTGTCCACTAGAGGTCAGTGAGCTGTGATAGCCATAAACCCTGTGTCGGTATAAGCCATAAACCCTGTATTGCTGGGATAAAAAAAGAGAAGTGTGAAAAAGGAAGGGTAGTTGGCGAGAGACATAGTTGGATGGAAGGATAGTTGATTAGAGAGGAAGGGAAGGGGGAAGAGTATGGGGTGGATAGATAGGACTGAAGTTGGATGGGTAGGTGGATAATAGGGTTAGTGGGAAAACAATATTTTCCATCCAAGAATTTCAAAAGAACTTCTCATTAAAGTGGGGGTTCTATCCCCAGCTCTGGGAGAGGAATGGAGCCTAATGGAGCAAGGGGGGATGGGACCCAGGAGTCCTGGGTTCTATCCACAGCTAAGTTATGCAGCCTGGGGCAAATGACTTTAGCCGTCTGTTGCCTCAGTTTCCCCAGCCTGAAACAGGATTTCATTGGTCTCTCTTGACTGTTAAGTCTTTGCGGCAGGGACTACCTCTTACAGGCTCCTTATAAAAAGTGGGGGAAGAGGCCCAATTACGCCCGCTTGAAAAATCTCTGCCCACCTCTGGGAGTTCAAATCCCAGAGGCTCTGAGGGGGCGTGGCTAGGGGTCTCAGCAGCGAGACGCTTTACGAAACATGGCTGGGAGCTCAATGACATTTAGGCACCTGAAATCAAATGCGATTCAGGGTAATTCTCTTAAGCTCATGGTAAATTCCAGACGACCTCCCCCACTCCTGACCCCTGTAGTAAATAATCATTAGGGCTACGTTTTTGTCACGGATATTTTTAGTAAAAGTCAGGGACAGGTCATGGGAAATAAACAAAAATTCACGGCAGCCCATGACCTGTCCCTGACTTTCACTAAAAATATCCCTGACAAAAAGGGTCGGTGAGTTCAGCACCCACAGCTGCTGGGGCTCCCGGGTCCCCCACCGATGTGGTGCATGGGAGCGTCGGTGTCCCTACTCCTGGGGCTGAGCTGCTGCAGGGTCCCCTCTCCCCGGGCAGCTGGTAGCTGCAGTTCCACCAGCCCCCCACCGCAGCGGGGCAGCTGCAGGGTCTCCCCACCAGGTTGGGGCCTGGGAGCTGCGAGAGAGGGGCTGGCTGGGATCTCCAGCCTCAGGGCAAAAAATGTTACGGAGGTCAATGCAAGTCTCAGATTCCGTGACATTATCGTAGCCTTAATAATCATGTCTCTGACTCCCCACAGGGGGGCAGTGTCTGTGCATGGCTGTTA